GACATGCAGCAGTTGAAGTTTTTTCTAACGACTGTGCAATACATTTTGTAGTTTTGTCTTCAAGGTATGTTGTCAAAGGTCAAAAGAAAAGCTGGTGTTCCAGTCTGAGCAAGTATACCGAGGAAAATCAGTCATATTAAGAGGGAGGGTTGTTTTGTTTTTTTTTTCAAAAAAAACAGAGTGAAAAAAATCAGTTTGCTCAGATTTGTCGGCTTTGCAAAAGGTGATAGTAATCGCGATTCAGCATTCGCCAAAGCATGTAATGATAATGTGTTTATTTTAACAAGTTTTACGAGTGTTCAGTTCAGACTTCACATTGATATGTTACAAATCACACTGACTTTCAGGATCAATTTTGACTTACTTCATGATTTATCCAAGCGCGGGAAAGTTGCATCAGCAATATTCTGATAGTGACAGTAGGCTTTACTGCAATGTTTTTTTCGAAACTCAAGTAGATATTGATTTTTTCAATCGACCAGATCAAAACTGATAATGAACTGATTTTCAAGAAACTGTTAGATGAAAAGCTATGTTATTAGTAAAAAAATTCGGCTTCACAATTTTTTTAGTCCGAATTGGGAGAACAGCAACAGGCAAAAGAGCCATTCTTTTTCTGTAGGCGATGCGAATTTTTGATTTCTTAAACACTTTGTTCTGTATTGGGTTTCAATGTCGACGAAACTAAACTATAATCAGCTTTATGTTCGTAACACTTGTTGCGTTATGGCTATCAAATCTTGTTTTAGTTTTGCATCAATAAATATCCAGCTCGAACTAATTATGTTACCAAGGTATGTCTATGAAAAGGATAACGGGTCTATGAGACAATGCGGAACAGTTAAGAGAAACCAATTTTTTGCCGATTTTCTCTCTCTGTTGCTTAAGCTGATAAGTGTTTTCTCAAACGCGTGTAATGACAGGAATTTGATCGCTCGAGTTTGAAAATATACCAATTTTACAGTAACAACAAATAAGTACTTCTCAGCTGTTCTTATTAATGACTTAAAACCTTTCTTTACTGATCTTTTTTTTCTTTTTGCTGTCAAGCGAACAAGAAGTTTTCTTCAGTGAGAATAGCAATCATGATTTTTTTCTGATTTTTTTTTAAAAATCCAAACGCAAAATCTAGATCACAAAAACAGAGGTCGCAATCGGCTTAAACATTTTTTTCTTTTTTTTCTTCACGTTATATGAGTATTATCTTTCTATCAATATTTTAAAAAACGTGGGAAAAAATGAAAAAAAGAATGTATTAGAGTTTACCTGTATTTTGCATTTTAGTTCCAAGTAAAGAAAATTCAATCGATAATTTTGAAATGAAATTGGGTGAGTTTTGACAGTGACTTAACAGTGACAGCTTGTTGTGAATTGATTGAGACAATGGAAGTAACAAGTGTAACATCTGCAATTTCAACTGAGAATAAGCCTAAGATCTTTTTATTCGCGCGAAACCTTGAATTGTTTACCATGTCAAAAAAATTGGATCAATACTTGTCGGAAAAAAAAGATGAAGAGAAAAATTTATAATCGTTGAGAGATCTCAGAGTTTGGCAAGATTTAATTGAATGGCGAAGAAAAAATTAGGACAATAATAATTGGTATTTTCAAGACTTAGCTATTTTAACTCAATAAATTTTTTCATGCAATTGACGTTGGGGATCAATTATCTTAATCAGGGACAAGAGGTTTAAATTCAAATTGGGCAAAAACGGATTATTTATCCACTTTCTATTAAAGCTTGAACCTCAAAAAAGACTGCTCATATCAAATTTATATTAATACGATTCGTAAGATGAAGAAAACTAGCTAAAAAAAGCTTTTCTCTACAAAAATTTAAGTGGCAACTAACTCTATTAGTTTCAACCTGAAAAGCAGCATCCCTTTATTTTCACCGAAAACCAAAAATTATAACATTTACGTTTGAATAGCTGGTGTTTATTTGAAGTCGAAACCAACCCGACTTAAAACTAGACGTTCGAAACACATCTCGCATGGATTGAGCACAGTCGACACATTTTTTTCGATCGAGGTGATCAAAACATCTTGTTTGGTTCGAGTACGGTCGAAACATACAAAATTTTGGTCGAGACGGTCGAAACATGCCGAGTGTTGGTCACGATTAAGTATCGCTTTACAATCAATCCGGGATTGAAACAGTGGAAAAAAATAAAAAAGAATGTATTGGAGCTTACCTGTATTTTGCATTTTAGTTCCAAGTAAAGAAAGTTCAATCGATAATCTTGAAATGAAATTGGGTTTAGTTTGATAGTGACTTAACAGTCAGTTGCTGTGAATTGATTGAGACAATGGAAGTAACAATTGTAACATCTGCAATTTCAACTGAGAATAAACCTAAGATCCCTTTATTTGCGCGAAACCTTGAATTTTTTACCATGTCAAAAAAAATTGGATCAGTACTTGTCGGAAAAAAAGATGAGTATAAAAAAATTATAATCGTTGAGAGATCTCAGAGTTTCGCAAGATTTAATTGATTGGCAAAGAAAAAATTAGGACAATAATAATTGGTATTTTCAAGACTTAGCTATTTTAACTCAATTGATTTTTTCATGCAAGTGACGTTGGGGATCAATTATCTTAATCAGGGACAAGAGTTTTAAAAACTCAATTTGGGCAAAACGGAATATTTATCCACTCTCCGTTAAATGAGATACTATTAGAGCTTGAAACTCAAAAAAGACTACTCATATCAGAGCGAAGCCCCGAGTTTTCCGACTGCTTTTTGATGAATTTGAAAACATCAACAAACAAAGTTTCAAAATTAATTGAAAAAAATTAGCGTTTTTTTGATTAATTATCTCACATGCTACGCTAAGTACAAAGTGATGCTTTTATCAATTAGCAACGTAAAAATTACTTCAAATATCTTGCCTGAATTCAAAATGGAACAATTTATGAGCGGTTTAAAAGCCGCTTACGCGTTGATAGCACGAAACATCTCGCACGTTAATTGTCTCAAATTAGCCAATTTGAAGGACTTTTAAACTCCCACAACTTTTCGAAGCATTATCACATATAAATCAGATCTTGTTAAGAGTGGCTCAAGATGTGAATATCGTTCCGACGGTGCAAAGTTTTGTTCAAAAATTGGAAAATGGTCCAGAAAAAAAATCAACCGGAGCACAACTATTCCGAATCTTTCTAGAAAATCAGAACAAAATTTATTCAATCAATTTCTTTCAAAATTTCATTGAGGCCTTTAATATATGTATTCTCTGTTTTTGAAATTTAGAGCAGAAATATTAATCTAGAAAAAGATTTGGGCTTGCCCTAAAGTTATCTCAGACCGCTTTATGTTTTGATTATCAAATTCGAGCGCATGTGCCAGTACTCGACCAAAAAAGAACAGTTGTGACAGCGGTTTGAGTCGAGCACAAACTCAAAACATACCGCGAACACGGTTAAAACATGTCAAAATCGATCGCGCTCGGTCCGAGCTCACGTCGAGCAAACGGATGCGCATCATGTTCAAAAAAGAATAGTCGAAACAGTTCAAACATACCGCAAGCACAGTAGAAATATATCAAAATTGGGTCTAGCACGATCGAAACATACCTCAAGCTCAGCCGAATCACACCTTAAGGTGGATCGAAACGTACCGATTCGTCCGTGTTAAGTCAGAGTCAAAAGCAAAAAATCCTTCAAATCTCAACAATTTTTTTTTTACCGTTTTTGATTCAAATTTATATTAACACTATTCGTAAGATGAAGAAAACTAGCTAAGAAAAACTTTTCTCTACAAAAATTTAAATTGCAACTAACTGTATTAGTTTCAATCTGAAAAGAAGCATCCATAGATTTTCACCGAAAACCATAAATAATAACCTGTAAGTTTGGGTAGCTAGTGTTTATTTGAAGTCGAAACCAACCCTACTTAAAGCTAGACGTTCGAAACACATCTCGCATGGGTTGAGCAAAGTCGACACATTTTTTTCGATCGAAGTGATCGAAACATCGTGCTTGGTTCGAGTACGGTCGAAACATACAAAATTTTGGTCGAGACGGTCGAAACATGCCGAGTGTTGGTCGAGAAGCTCGATTTACAAAATGAGCTTTGTCACCCGGGTAGTTTAAAACATCAGATAACTTCCTCATTATGACTAGTTTCAGAAAAGATATAAAAAAGTGATGGGAAATTTACTTGAAGACAGGCTGTGAGGCGATAAACCTAAGAAAAACATGTATTCGGCTTCGAGTTTATAGCAACTTTTCAGCATAATTCAAAAATTGGTTGCAGCATTTCAAATTGTAGTTTTCACTGTCATTTGCTTCAAATTATTGTATTTTGTTTTAATCAATGAAGCAAAAACAAAAAAGTCGTAAAATCGATCATAATAAAAATCTAGTGGTGTTTAAATTAAAGCGGAATTATTTTTCTCGAGAAGCTATTTTTTCACCCTTTTGAGCCAATACTTTCTATTTTAGCGCATTGGGAATCATTAAAAAAGTTTTTTTTTATGAAAAAAAAATTAAAACATTTCAAGATTTCGAAGTTGACTTTGAACTCGTCGTGCGCATCTGTCTCTGTAAATCATTGTTCGAAAACGAACTAAGCGCTCACGAATTTTAATCGAATACACTTGTACATCGTAGAATGATTATATTGAGTTGCAAAAATTTGTTCGTTGAATTCAAAGCAAAAAAATTTGAAGTTTGATTTTTTATTTGGTTAAGATCCGATTTAAATCGATTTTTTGGTTTAAATCCCATTCTACATCTTTTTTGAGTGCATATGTTTTGGATTCGTGAGTTCGAAGCTTTTTAATTTCAAATCAAAATGACGTAATAAATTCCAACCATTCCGCACGATCGAAAAACTAATTCTCGAAAGCTTGTTATTTCTTTTAATCATGTGGGCATCATTGAATTGGCTTTCAAATATGGCAGCAAGCTAGTTTTCAGCACCTTCATCGTTAAATACCAGAGTCAACTCCAAGTCCAAACTCAAAAGAGATGCTTCGACATAGCAATAACTTAAAATAGCTTTCAAGCATCGGTGAATATTAGAAATATTATAACTACGCGACGAATATTTGACAAATAACTAAGCTCCTAACTAAATCTACCATCGGTCAAATCACTCACAGCTAAGAATTAGTCGTGTTTATACTAGTTAACTTTTATTTAATCATCCTCTTGTTTCGGATATTTGTAGAATTTCTGGATTTTATTGAAATTGGGAAACTATGGAACCAACCGCACCCCCGATGAGTTTCTCGGAAAACGACCAACCCCCCTGTCAACTTCCACCACCCGCCTACGATTATGGGGCTAATACTGCCATGACAACGCCACTAGGCTCTTTTTCACCCTAATTTTTATTTCTATTTATTTTTCTTATATCTGTCGCTTTTCTCTGAGTTTTTCACATGTAGCTCTTATTTTTCAGGCTTCGAAAAATCAGAAGTATTTTTTGAAACCTAAACGAAACCTAAAACATGCATTTTGAAGTCAAAATTGACGCCTAAACCAGCATAATAGAAATATTGTCATGAATATTCTTCTTAAATTTTTCTTCCGCTGAAAGCTTTTTTTTGGGTAAAAGGCGTAGGGCTTTCTATTTGCAGAATTAAAATAGTATCTTTTGTTTTTAATTACAAAAATTACTAAACTTTTCTGAATTTTAAGTCTAGATTCGATCAAGAGTCTTGAGTTCGAATCTCCGAGGTGTCCAAACAAGGAAAAAGAGTCTAATTGAATCATCAGTTCCCCAACCAGGAATGTCAAATGTCCCATTTCGTCCTCCGTCTTACCGAGCTTACGATCCAAACACGGGTAAACCATTTATTTTTACCAAAAGTCGGTATCCAAAAGTCGACTTTTGTTAACACGAACAACTAAAAAAAAACGTTGACCAAAACTCTCCATCCCCCCCCCCCCTCCTCCCTGCCGTCAAAAGTGCCACCGCACGTCTCTGTTATAAATGAATACATAAGATTTACTTGACTGACTGTTTCAATAACAAAAATAACTACCTTAGGACGTCTTTCATGGTGTTGCTAACCAAAAATATAAAGATATTTATTCAAACAAATTTATCGGAACATATGTAATGACTCATATGTAATAAAATTATTATTATTATTATTAAAGGTGGCACAAACTGGGCAAATGCCGGGCGCCCGAATGAGCTGGCCAGACCTCCGTCGCCTCAGCCTGTAGCTGCTCCGCGGAATGTCAACATCTTCCTGGTGAATCCCGGGAATGAGAACAATGCAAGACAGAGGAGGGAGTCAATTGTGTCTGAAAACACAGTTTCTGCGTACGTAATTATCTCAAGTCTAGTCTGTAAACACCCCCCCCCCCCCTCATAACCGACCAATAGAACAATCTTCCTCCTAAAAATAATTGACAAGTTCTAGCAGTGAGGACTGCATGACTATGCTCAAATCTGATTGGTTAAAAAATCAGAATTCCAACCAATTGAACGTTCTTTGGACAAAATTTGTTTAGGCGCGAGACTGTTCACTTGGTCCTCAACTAGCAATAATGTTTCAATATCTACTTCTGCTTCCTTTTACATACTTTTTTTGATTTGAATTGTTTTTAATTGTTTGCTAATAAATAAAAAAAGTGGCTTCGAAAACTGAGAATTCCAAAAATTTGTGCTAAAACTCTGCAGATATCTATGCGTGTCTATAGAAAAAAACTTTTACGCCAAATGTGTTTTAAAATGTCAAAGGAAGGCTATTTATTTCTACCACTCAGAGTTAGGCCCGCGTGTTGTAGGATAGATCGGTTTTCGGTATTTCATGAAAAAACAGTTTCTGAAAACGTCAATTTAAGGAGATTTTATTGTGAAATTAACAGCAGATATGAATCGATAATAAAATCAGAAAGTATCAAAAAATTTCTGAAAAGAAGCAACCGTTAACACAGACTAATAATCCTAAAACCCACACAAAACCATTAACGTATCATTTTATGCTGCAATAGTTGACAGTAAAAACCAAAACTGGCAGCCAAAAATTTGTCTTTTCGAGGTCAGACAAGGTCAAGATTGATTGTTTTATGTTTTACGTTTATTCGAACTGGGTATACGAGCTTCCGTAGTATTTACACAATTAGATATTTGTTACGTAATTATTGCATAACTTTTACATGACTAATACATTTTTTACGTAATATTAGTATAAAAAAGGTAAACAAGCCCTTTTCCCTGTTGACAACTAAATGGCCATATGGCCTTGGGTGGATCGAGTTTACGCACGGAGGTCTGCAACAAGACTCTTACTTCAGCTTAGACCGCTCGGCCATGTGTTCTTATTTGGCTTTGGTTTCACTGCATTTATAGTTCCAGTGTACAAGTGCTTTTCACACTTACATTTCAAGTGGAAACATCCTCGGGCCTCAAAGGAGCTAATACCGGAACAAGTTTGACCAGAGGATGATTAAATTCTCCTGTGGCGAAATTCAGGAATGTGGAGCGGGCGACCGCATCTTTGCCAAAATTCAGGTTGAAGATACGTGCTAGGGGGGTAGTATCCCCGGGGGCTACTTTCCTCTACAACCCATACAATATCTCCGAACTTCAGGCCATCTTCAGCGGGTGTTTGCCACTTATGCCGTTTGTGCCATTTAAGGCGTTTGTACGTACTCTCGTAACCATCGAGTCCAGATGGCGTTGGCATATGCTTGTGCACCGTGGAAGCGCTCGCGGTGGAAAACTTACGAATGCTGTCCCACTTGAAAATGGTTAAGCGTAAGTGCATCAAGCTTATTTGAGTCACTGCTAACAGTTGTAAGTGGACTCACATTTAAGGACTGATCAAGAAAGTTGTCTGAAAAACTTCTTCATTTGCAAGGTATAAATATCGAATATAACACTCTCCTGCAACCACATACAAGGCGATGGGCGCTGATGGTGTGGCGTTGATGAAGGGTTGTTATTCCATTCTATACCTTTATGAAAAAGAAGGGCGGATGCGGGGTCATTCCACGCTCGGGTGCACAGAAGAAGCTCTAGCTCTACTCTGCGCCGAAAAAACTATTTCCATTGTCAGACCAAATTTTTGATGGGGTTCAACGCCTAGCTATGATCTTTTCTTATCCCAACACGCAGGAGCTAGAATTCATTGACAGAACGACTTCTATGTGGATGGTTCTTGTGTCAAACAGGTACTCGATTGGTAGTTCAGACATTAAACGTGTGACGGTTTCCGCCTTCCTTTTTCGACAAATCTTGCAATTAAGTTCAATGTTGCGAATTAGGGACTATGGTTTAAAGACGGCATAATCCAACTGGAAGACTGAACTTAGATAGTCTATAGACTAAAGCTCATTATTCATTTGCAGATGACCTACAAATATTTTCACTAAGTGGTGATGACTATCAAGTATGATGTTGTGTTGTTCTGATTTCAGAAAGATGGCTTATGCGGGCCGTCGACAAGAGAAAACCACCAGTACCAATAAAGGAAGAGAGTGTTGCAATAGGACTTAAGTGCTTTAATTATGTCTCAGAATTTAGTAACTTGAACTCTGACGCGAGTGCTTCTTTTTGTGACAGAAGCTAAACTAATTTCTATTTTGCATTTTCGAGCTCAAAAAGTTTTACAATTCTAAGTGTTGCTTCCCGTTGACGTCGGAACTACGGACTTAATCTGGGGATGAATGCTCTGGTGCGTAATAGATCAACGAAAGAGCTGTTTTCAGGCCAATTGGTGACGGGTTTAATTGGTGACAGGTTTGCGACAAAATTTGATGCGAAATCAACAACATCGTCAACGGGACATTTATTTCGGTGACTGCCTCAACAATCGGACAGAAAGGCCAGTCGTGGGTTCTTAGGAAGCTTGGACTTTGGGTTCAGCTGCTGTCTTTTAAAGCTTCGGCGGCAAAACCTCGGGTGACCGTGTCTGCGAGATTGTTTCCGGTGTCGAAATGATACCACTCGTCAACAGTGGTGACTTCAAGAATTTGGCCTAGTAGGTTTGCGACAAAAACTGGTTGCTTCAATGGCAAATGAAGCCACCGGAGCACGGTGGTGCTGTCTGTGTACTTGAATACATGGTTCATCGAGATTTTAATGCTTTAAAAATTTCTTCCTCGAGGCGTATCGCCAATAAGGCAGCTTACAATTCTAGTTTAGGTATAGACTAAGCCTCCATGAGAGTTTGGTCTCTTGGGTTTCAATAGCGCAGAAGACCTCTTGCGAACTAATTCAACTTTGTCAATGCAAACGGAAAATAGCAGCGCGGAAATGTTAGCTGATCTAAGATAGGTAGGCTGGAATCCTTTAAAGAGGAGACGCGCTCTAACAGCGTATGGAGCGACCAACACTGTGGGGTCGAAGATTGAGGAGACAAAGCTTAGGATCGTGTGCTGTAACATTGTTTTTCAAATCTCTATTTACGCCTCGGCTGATCACTAATGTGTCATGTATGTGGTCCCATTTTAACTGCCTAAAAGTTCTTTGAATTGACTTAATTTGTCGCTCGACGTACATAGCTCACTTTGTATAACATTTATCTTCCTTACAAGTTTTGTCAATTTGAAACCTCCCAATTAAGAAAGTTCTGTAAGGTCTTTAATTCTTTTCAAAGCTTCAGGGTGTTTCAACGAGTCAAGGTAATTGTCCATATATAATTTTTTCATTGCTTCCGAAGCTGCCCTTGGAAAAGGGCTTGATTGACACGCGGCTAGCACATGTGGAGGAGTCTCGAGTTCCGATGATGTGTCGCGTGATTGTTACATTTGCACATCGGATATGTTGTCCTCCCGCCACATGAATTGCAGTGATGGTTGATCAAATTCAAGCACGCCAACCTCATAAAACATTCCTTCTATATCAGCAGATACAGCATACTTTTGCTGACGGAACCTCATTAGAACGAATAAAAGGCTTCAAAGCAAGCCGGTGCCTACCAGGAGAGCTTTATTGAGGGAAGATTCATCAAAAATTCGATGCTCCATTTAGGACGCACCAAATTTTTTCGGATTGTTGGCGTTATTCACCGATTGGTATGGAAGATACCATTCCTTAACGAAACGGTTTCAAGGGGTCGTGGGCGTTAATTTTGCTTAGATACCTTTGACATAACAAATTGTTTTTGCTCATGAATCTTTAAATATTTTTAAACTTCTCCAAAGACGTTTACTGGGAAGCAATTATTTGGTAACTCTGAGTTGTTTTGAGACCAGAGCATGCCGACGGAGTATCTATGACCATCTTTTATGGTAGATGACTCAACTTTTTGATTCGCCCTCTTATCGACTGAGGAATTTCTTGTAGGCTCTGTATGACTCGAGTTCATACCAGGGTTTGATCTGCACTTCAAAATTTACATCATCGATATTGCATTTTAAGCTTGTGGAGATTAGATCACAGGAGAAAAAAGAGACTTTTAAGACCCTTTCCAATGGGAAGACGAACGGCGAAAGGAGTTTTTTTTTCACTTTTATATTGGTAGTACTCAAGGGGACGAATATACTCATAGACATCTTGACCTAATATCATTCCTACACCCGCATATCGGTATTCGGCGGGATAACTAGGTTCCAAGTGAGGATAGTTTTATTGCAACTTGGGGACATTGGTTGTAACTGAACCTAATTTATTTTCATCTTTGACATAAGCTCAGACAGAGACAAATATTTCTCGATTTAATTCAGATGTGACATTTAACCAACTTATTCTGGGGCAATAACCTCGGTGGAATTGAATTAATTTTACAAATAAGTTTAATTGTTTGACCTGTCAGGTTAAGTCTATTCGAGATAAGATGACAAACAAGAAGAATTGCAGGCTGCGTTACATAACACGCGTTCATTAGTTTCATAAGTACTGAATGAAATGGATAGACTTGCGATAGGCATTAGGCTTTTGACACTCATTATGATGTTGGACAAGTGGAACTCCGTGAATTTTGGCTTTGATTGTGTTTTAACTGCAGGATTATTTACAGTTGCGGGGAGTGCATGGCCAGATGAGTTTTTTACGGAGTACGAGCTGGAAAAATGAGCTCAGCTCCATGCAAAAACACATTGTGAGTGCACTTGCTTTTGGGTTTGGAACATGTTTTCAAAATAGGGCATTTCGTAAACATATGATTTTCTTGAAGGTCGCAAAAACAAAGTTTGCTCTCAGTAGAGAAATTAGCGCGCTGAGTTGATTTTTTTTCTTCGTAGGCGCTACTTTTCTCAAATAGATGATTGCTTTTACATTGCAAACAGGGATTATACTGAGGATTTGTCCCGTTTTTATTTGCGGGTTTGCCGAAAAAACTTTAGGAGCGTTCGGTCTTTGTTCATGGAGAATTGCCTTCCGGTTTACTAGAGAAACACATGCGCTCATGCACTTCGGCTTAAATTAGTCCTTTTCGGTATCTAATGACATAATTGAGGACGAGTAAAGGTCGGTTGTACCGATGCGAAGCTTGTTGGTTGAGTGAGACTTGAATGCGGAGGTATACTCAAAGTTACGTTCAACGGCTGAGGTGACATAAATATAGTTGCGTTTACTGGAAATAGGCGAAGCTTCCAATGATATTCCTGAATTTGAAGAAACAAAAGTTTTTGGAGCAAGCGGGGGAGCTAGTGGTAGTGGTGATGGAAGCGGTATTCCAGATTAGTGGGCGGTGATGGGTTCAGCTGACGTGAGGGCTTCTATTGTGTTGAAACATTTTGGAACAAAGAAGAAAGTACTTTCCTGACGAGTTCCCACCAGTAAGACAGATGATACATTCAAATTGAGGTTGTTGTGTGGTTGCAAATCACTTTGAGGAGCAAAATTTATGACAGTCGTCGCCTGAGATGACTGGTTTTCGATGGCGACATTCACCAAGTCTTTCTTTCGAACCTGAGGGGAAGCCGTGTTAGCGCTGAAAAACAAACTTTGCTCATGTGCAGATTGATCTGTGATTCATTTTGTGTCAGTCGATTCATCGTCTTTCTTCATCGACAGTTTTTGCCTCAACCAACTTCTTTTGATTGTCTTCGACAAACTTTTCTCCAAATCCAACTGGTTTGCCTTTTGCTTAAAGAAAACAGCAGCCTCGTTTCGCCTTTAATTTTCCCCGCGACTTAAATTTGCTCTTTCTAGTTATCATCTGCGTTGACTTGAGGTCCTTGAAGCAGTTTTAGAGTGTGTTGAGATGTAACGGGTTGATCTGCTTAAGATGGAGGAAAATTTCGATGTTTGAGGTACTCGTGATTTTTCATCTCCAGAATCCAAACGCAAAGTTTCACCCGAGTTTAAATCCTTCTGTGTTTTTTTCAGAAGCTTGTCGTGGGCGTCAGTTATTTTCTTTAAGCACAACTCAAGATCCTCGAGCCCTTTACTCGGTTCAACAGTGTTATAAGCGTGGCTACGCAATGCATCAGTCTTTCTTATAGCGTTTTCCAAAGCTGCTTTGCACTGACTGATCAGCCTGTCAACTTTAACTACCCTCACATTTGATTGGAGACAGTTTCTGAGCTTAGTATAGTATTGATTGTTGGAGTGTGCTTGTCTGTTATGACTAAATATTAAACTAAGCTAGAAAATTTTTGAATAAGGACTTTCCGAAAAAAGCGGTGCTCAAATCAAGTGCGATGTCACTCCCCACACCTTCACAAAATAAACTTTAGTTGCAAGATGATAGTCACACTTTACTTGACTGAGAAGGGAGGGGAGCCAACTTCAACTTAGGATTTACGGCGATCGGTTAAAAAGGAACAGTTATAGTCACAAAAAATTTTTAAATTAAATTATAAATCAACTTGTTGAGACTGGGCTGCTATTGCAGCTAGGCGGCAGTTCGTTTCCGTTCTACGTTTTTTCTGGGATTCTTTACTTTCTTAAGTTCGAAAATGCGTATGTTTTTTAGTATCTTCTGACTACTGTGAATGTTCTCAATTCAAGGTGAGCTTCTTGATGAAATACAAGATATTGGCGGAGTAAAAGCTCATCCTTCGTTTTTCTTTTTGATACAAGACCTTTTGTAAGATTTATTACCAATTTACCAAATTTACCCAGAACGTTATATAAATATGGCGTTCCAGTGCTCTAACAGTCTTTAATAGAAATTATTTTATGTTTATCTTAATTTAGGATATTCATATTTCGTTCTGAGAGAGAGCTCGTTTTTGACAATTAGGATGTCGACTGTCAACATTAATAATAAGATCACGCCAGATAACTATATCAGTCCTATTAGATAAATTATTTTTCAAATATTATTGAACAGTTTTTTGACGGTTTACTGCGCTATAATTAAAAGTTAAGCCAGGAATAGCAATACAAATACCAGAATATATTTTGCGATGTTTGAGGTTTGTGTACGCCTGATGGCAGTTTGCGTGCGTCAACTTGTTGATCAACTGTTGTCTGACTTTTTTGCCAAAACTAGTATGGTTTTCGTGGCAGTTATCGTCAGCCGACCATGATTCTACCACTCAAACTTGGGCCCGGCTGTTGTAGGGTAGATCGGTTGTAGGTATTTCATGAAAAAAAAAACAGTTTCTAAAAGTGTCAACTTACTGAGAGTTTATTGTGAAATTAACGGCAGATATAAATCGATAATAAAAGCAGAGAGCATTAAAAAATTTCTGAATAGAAGCAACCATTATCGCAGACTATTAATCCTAAACCCCACACGAAACCATTAACGTATCATTTATGATGCAATAGTTGACATCAAAAACCAAAACTGGCAGCCAGAAACTTGACTTTTCGATGTCAGACAGGGTCAAGATTGATTGTTTTACGCTTTACGTTTAATCGAGCTCGGTATACGAGCTTCCGTAGCATTTGCACAATAACGTAATTATTACGTGATTTGGCGGAATCCAGATGATTGTTGCGTACAATTTGAATACAATTTGCGGATGATTGTTGCATAACTATGACACTACCATTACGTAAAAAGATAAGGTAACCGAACCCTTTCCCTATTAACAACTAAATGACCATATGGTCTATGAGGGGGCTCGAATCTACGATAGGGGGATCGAACTGGATTTGGACTTTGGTTTAGATCCTTCGGCATGTGTTATTATTTGGCTTTGCTTTTACTGCATTTATAGTTCCAGTTTACATTTGTTTTTCATACTTACACAATTCAAGTGAAAAAACTAATAAAATCTTCTCTCAAAGTACATTACGAGGCCAAACGGTGCTTCTGATAGGCGCACAAACTTGTGTCTGTATGTTCCTCGATTCCATAGACAAGTCTTTAAACTGGTTCCAAAGTGTAAGTGGAATCCATTTACTGAATCTCCGTGTAAGTTTTGTCGGTATTTAGTTTTCTGGTGGATTCCACAACAAGCGAATAGAAGCAATTTTTCCGCAAATGTACGTGGATTCCGCAAAGTTTCTCGAATTCCTCGTACAATTTGCGGATTCCGCTTAGATTTTGCGGATTCTGCTTAGAATTTGCGGGTTCCGCTTACAATTTGCGGATGCCACTTACAGTTGCGGATTTCGAGATAGTTTTAGTTTACTAAACTCCTTTATTTCCAATTGTTCATGGATTGCACAAGCTGGTTCCGGATTCCAACCATTTTGTTGCGGATTCCAACAAAATTGCTGTTTCGGAGTGATTTTGAGCAACACAGTGTTTCAGCTATTTGTCTGTGGAATCCAAAACAGCAGAGGAGATCAAAGGAAAATAGCAATTTTCCTGATTCCCCGACAAACCTAGTTTTTGCCAGTTGGGGAAACCGCTTAAAATTCACAAAATGCACAGTTTGGCTTAGTAAAATTTTATCTTTTTTTTCCGACAAATTTTTTTGGAGTTTTTCATGTATGGTAGCTTCAAACATTGATTTGCCTTCCAATTTTGAGTTTTGCATATGTATATATCGCTGAAAATTTATTTGGTGCTCTATCCATTTTTCTTGGACACCTTAACTTTTGTTTTAACTATGTTCTTGTTTTCAAATATAAAATCTGACGTTTTATAATACCTTTTTGACTGCAGCGGGGATCGAACCCACGAGGCCCTGCAGTTTGACGCTTGGACTAAGTGTTCTTGGGGAGTTCTCGCGAAAGCTAATCGGCTAAGTGAGACATTTAATCAACTGAGAAGAGTCAACAAGGTACAAATGTGTTAGATGGGTCCCACGAACAAAATAAAAAGCGATTTTATCCGGTTGCTGTTCAAGTAGCACAGAGTGTTCCGATCATATTCATAAAAACTAAAAACTAAAGTTCTTCAAATGATAAAAATCTTCATAGTAGTGTCATTTTTTACGCGGTCTGATGATAAAACTATACATATGCGAAAAAATTAGTTAATTAGGCATGAGCGATAAAACTTGTCTTCAAACAAAGAACAAACAAAAATTTAAAAAAAGTCAAAAAAAAATTTTGAACGAAAATTTTTTAAAATTTTATTTGCCAATTCAAGGCCGTTTTGTGCGGTTTTAACTTTCACAAAGTTCAACAATTTAGGCTGCAGCCATAACCGACCATGCAGTGGCTTAAGAATTTGAAAATGAAAAACTAATCAAAAACAGCAAATGACCTTTCCGACAGGTTTTATTTTTTGAACAAAAAGTGTCTAAAGTCTCCTAAAAATTGAAATTTTGCAGATGCACTTTTAAGTTAACGCTATCTAATCTAATTTTTTGCTACTTATTGTTGAATTGAAGCTAGACGGCAAGTGCGAGCTAGTAGGCACACACTTAGTTGCGCCAATTTAGGATTATTACTAGAAAAAAAAAACCTAAATTCAAGAAGTGTCCTTCAAAACGATTTCATCGATAGTGTAATGACTCATCGACCATGTTTGTGCTTTTCAAAAATAGAATATAGGGAGTGGATGTCATCGGGCGTTTCCAGTAGGGGGGAGAGGTTGTTGCGGTGGCATGGTGTCTGTGACATTCGAACTGGCAACAATTGGTGAGATTATATTTGAATTTTTTTGTTCGTAATACAGTGCTGATTTAAATTATCCGGACAAAACGAACAAAACTTGAATTTTCAAATGCGTTTTTCTCAAATTGGGTCAAGATTAGACAAAAAGTGAAGAGAACAAAGTTGCTCAGAATTTTATCAAAATTCATATGGTGCATTTTTTTCTCCAAAATTCTCAACCAAAATTTTACCCCAAAAATGGGTCATTTTGGCTTTTTTCAATTAATCAAGAATTACACTGAAACTACTTGGTTAATTGATGAGAAAAACTTATCACAAGAAGCCTCCTACATAGCCCAACAAAGTTTAAGAAGGGTTAAATCTCCAAAAGTTTGCGCAAATTGTTTAAAATTTGTTTTTAAACAGAGATTCTCGGTTTTAAATAGTAAAAATTACATTTAATGACTATCAAGTACAAACTTTTCTTATATACTGGTTTTTGGAGATTTAACTCTTAAAGTTTGTTGGGCTATGTAGGAGGCTTCTTGTGATAAAATTTTCTCATCAATTAACAAAGTAGTTTCGGTGTAATTCTTGATTAATTGAAAAAAGCCAAAATGACACGATTTTGGGGTAAAATTTTTGTTGAGAATTTTGGAGAAAAAATTGCACCATATGAATTTTTGATTCTAAGCAACTTTTTTTCTCTTCACTTTTTGTTTAATCTTAACTCAATTTGAGAAAAACGCGTTTGAAAGTTCAAATTTTGTTTGTTTTGTCCGGATAATTTCAATCAGCTCTGTACTGTCAGCAGATTAGCAGCTGAAGTTTTTTGCTTCTTCTATTTGATTAATTTCATCAGAGAAAAAAAAACGATTCATTATGAAATGTGTAACAAAAGTAAAAAGAATTTGAAAAACTTTAAAATTGTTTTTTTTTTCTCAACAATTTTTACTTAAGTTTGCATGCGGGCAGAAAACTTATGCGAAATAAAATTATCGATTTTTTTTTGCGAAGAACTCGGAAAACCAATTTGCTCAGCCAACAAAAATTTAACCATTTTTTTCGAAAATCTCTACTCCATCAAGAAAATAGAAGATACTGTGCTTTTCAAGATCATGTGATTTTGCCCTAGCTGCAATTGATGCCGGAATGCGGAAAACTCATTATGGGATCATTATTGAAGAAAAAAACAATATGGCGATATTTTTCGTATATTTTTTTCCGAATTTTTCTTCGAAAGTTTTTTTTTCAAATTTACCATCGTTTTCGAACTGAAACGTTAGTTTTCTGAAAAAAAAAACAAATTTTGTTTTTTCGAAAATCTTTTCTTTATATTTTTATCGAAGTTTGCTTTTTTTCAGTTTATGCTGTCCTCGTGCCGCTGTACGTGGTTAGCCTGCGTCGGCAATCGAAACAACAGAACTACGTGCAGATGATGCCCAATCTACTGATGTGGATTCTGCTTCTTATCTACTTGATCTTGTTCACGATGTATCTCATCGCATTTGGGGTTCACAGAGTGAACAGATATCGGTTCAGGAATTGTCCTTGGATCATCAAAGGAACAAGAGGCTTTTTAGAATTTTTGTTGCCCTAAATAGTTTTTTAAGCAAATGTTAGGAGACGCTACACGATAGGTTTGATACCTTTTTTGTAACAAATTGTAAAATTCTGCAGAAACTTTAAACCGACCATTGTTTTTTTCATTTGTTTACAATTTATTTCCAAAAAGGTACCAAACTTGTCGAGCGTCTTCGTTTAAAATATTTATGCCTGCCTTCTTCAATAATCTATATATAATATAGACAGAACTCAAAAAAATATACCGCCAAAAACTCTGCAAAAATAAAGAAAAACTAAGAAAAAGAACTAAGCGTTCATTCATACTCATTTATAAATGAAGTTTGGTGATTAAAATAAGACGACCAAAGAGGAGGCAATTGAAACAAGGATAACTGGTTACTTTGTAAGTAGCACAAAGTCTTTCAACTATGGTCTTTAAAAAAACCAAAAAAAAAATTCCAATTAATGAAACTTTTTCTGTGTGGTGTGATATGAAGATCTGAACAAAAAACTTAAACTTGAGCATTTTCTACAGTCATAGTAAAACAGGCAAGTTAGACAACAGTTTTTTATAGAAAAAGGACTAAAAAAAAAAGATTCATACGTGTTGCTAAACTGATGTCATCAATTTTTCAAAGAACTATTTTCTTGTTTTGGCATAAAAGCCGGTGTACATACTAAATGAGAAAAGAACTTTTTGTCAAAAAAAATTTAATCATACAATTTCCATAAAAAGAAATTGTATGACTAAATTTTTTTTGATGGCGACAACAAAATTTTTACAACTTTTGAAACTGCCTCAAAAAATGTTTTGTTTTTTTTTTCTACCGCAAATCGAACTTTGTACCCAAACAAACGTTTCCCAAAAAAAATTGCAAGCAAAATTTAATTTTTTGTGTGCATTAAGTTGTCCTGGATAGACTATTATTGGATTATTTTTCTTTTTCGCAGAATAATTTTTTTTAAAAAACCTTAAAAACCCTTATATTTTAATGTATGCCTTGATCAATCTATGATAAGTTAAAATTTCAAATTTTAAAAGCAATCATCGTTGAAAACTTTTGTCTAAATTTAAAAGTTTGTTAATTTTGTGATAATGTTTGTGAAAGACAGATTTAAAAATTTTCAGGCCGCTTCCAATGCATTGTTAATGCGAGACGGTTAAACCTTTAGTTACTCTACGTTTGAGTAACCGAGGTTCTTGTCACTTGTGTTCGGCCACGAACACATCCCAAAAATTTTGAGAAATTAAATTTTTTAAAAGATCAATTCTTTTGGTTCATCGGAAAATGCTAGTCATACACTTTCCGTACAAAATTAATCACTAATCATAGATTTTTCATGCAATTTTCTGTAATCATTACTGATAAGATTTTTCGATGAACCCGGATGAGCTAAGTATAAATATGATATCGTAAGCCTGCTGGCTCTCTTTATTTGCTCAAAATTAGACTAAAAGTTGAAATTTTTTAACCAGTTTTCCTCGATACTGAACTTATTTTGGGCTTGACAAAAATTGCTCTCAATTTAGCAAAGTTTTATATTTTTTCATTCTTGCAATCACTTTACATGAAATTTAGTTTTTTTTCCAAGTTTTCATCAACCTTAATTTTTGTAAAAATATCAAACCATCAAAAGTCGGAAAAATTAACAAAACATATTGTGCTTCTCCATTTTCTGTAAAAATGGTTCGTTCTTCTCATTTTTGGTCTAATGTTCTGCAAAAGTACAAAATCTAAACAACCACCTTATAGTCGTTTTCTCCATTTTTGGCAAACATGAAACTAAAACATTTTTGGCAAACTACTTTCTCCAATTTTTAATTTTTTCAACACTTTTTGTAAGTTCAAAATAAAACAGCTGCAACAACCTTCACCATTTTTGATTTTTTTTTTTCATTTTTCACAAAATTCAAAATAAATTTGAAAAATAAAACAGCAGCTTGTAGCTGCCACTCGCAACTACCTTCTGATGGGCAAGATGGCCGCCTTCAGAGAAACAGACCCAGACGAGATGCAACGCAACTGCAGATTGAGGGCACTGTCCAAAGTCAGAGCCCAGTTCGGCCGAAACAACCCCGCCTGGGGCATGTATTACTCGTCCAGCTTCTACAGGCAAGCAGTTTTTAAAACCTCCAGCCAATTTTTCCCAGTTTCCAGGTCAAAAAATTACATGAACGGGTTCCCAGGAAAGTCTTCTTTTTTTAAAAAAATCTTTAAAAAAGCTGCATCAGCTAAGTTGCACTCAAAAAGGCAGATGTTAGAAAAATCCTGCCTGGTAGTACATGTATTATGCGTTTTCTACAGGCAAATATTGTTCCGAATTGTCTTTTTTTTCACATTTAATTCAAAAAAGCCATCGAAAATTTGCACATACGAAAAAATTAATCCTGGTGCATGTGTTATTGTCTAGTTCTTACAGGCCAGTCAACTGTCATCGGCTAAGTCGTATTTTTTTCCGAAGCCAATCCAAAAGTAGCATAGAAAAATTTCTTACTTCTGAAAAGATTTTTATTCGAAAAATCTCACGAACTAAAAAGTTTAAATCGCATCAAACTTTTGAAATTTCCTAAAGGCAGGTTTTCCAACAATCTCTCATGAAATACACACCAGTTTTACAGGAAAGTCCTGTTCCGAGCGAAGTCTTACTTTCAAAAAAAAAACTGAAATTTGCGTCGAAAAATTCACTGTTCTTAAAAAATCCCACACCTGGTGCATGTATGATTCCCACAGTTGCATAAGAGCAGCCAGGTTCTCAGCAAAGTGTTATTTTTTTATCAGAGACATCTAGAAAAAATCAATCCAAAAAATTCGCACTTCCAGAATACAATGTTTTTGAAAAAACGCCTGGTGCTGGTAACTTTCACCCAGTTACAAGCTAGTCGTGTCAGACTTCGTGTCTTTCAATATATGCATCGATAGGTTTTGATTTTTATTTATCAATTAAAGTTATGATTGACTATAGAATAAAATCTATAAAAAAAATCTAGCTAAAAACACAGAAAAGTGAGGGTTGCTCGTAATAGTAGAAAGCCTCGAATATTCTAACTGCCTTTTAACGTCTTCAAAGTAGTTTTCTAAGCCAGTATAAATCGAAATCAGCCGAAAACAAAGATGAAAACACCATAAAAATTGTTCATAATCAGAAACTTTTGAAAAGCATTCCCCACACGGTTCTTAAAGTACAAACTGATATATTTTGCATATAACAACGTAATAACTAAGTTAACTAGCATTCATCGACTAACTTTGAAACGACTTCTATGCTGGATTACTTTGCCGCTTACGCGTTATACAACGATATACATATACAAAAAAAAATAATTTTATATATCGAGCATTCTTCATCAATTTTGGCTGAATTGGCTATATTCAAGTTCGCAAAAAAATCATATGTAAATAGCTTTTTAAATTGGAGTTCAGGGCATCGAAATGTTTTTAATGGAAAAAAAATGTTCATCAAAAATGGCTAATAAAAATTCAAGATTCGTCGGCCAATGGAGCGCAACTCCTTCGAACTCTTATACAATTTTCCAAAAACTCCTTTCGATTTTTTTCTCAAACTGTATTGAATCTTACGAACAGCCAGTAAAAATCAAAATAAGTGTTCTAAGTTTCGAAATGTTGTCTGCTGGAAAATTTTGCTGTAAAAGTTGGTGTTTCAAAAGTTAGTTGTGGCAGCATTTGGTTCTTTACTTACTTATACGGCTTCAAACGAAAAATGAAAGACAACAATTTTCAGCCTTATTGAATAATGTGTTTTTTTACCAAAAATTTAGTGCGCTCGGTTTCCCGAGAATTTCAATCGTCAAAATCATAATCGTCAAAATTTGTGAAAAATTTATGTTCGCAACATTAGAAAATTGTGGTTTTTTACACAAAAATTAGTGCACTCGCTCTCCGGAGAATCGTAATCGTCAAAACAATATCGTCAAAACCTGGGACAAAACTATTTCCGCAATATTGGATAATGCGGTTTTTAGTTAAAACTATTCACCAAGAACTTAGTGCACTGGGTCTCCGGATAATCGCAATCGTCAGAATCATAATCGTTAAAATCTGCGACAAATTTATGTCCGCAACATTAGCCGAACTTAATTTATTACAATGTCCCAGTCGCCTAGTGGCGGACAAATTTTAGCTTAAAGCCCTGATTTCAATTGCCTACTTTGATATATTCGCAACTTCCAAATTACGAGGCCAAACTGTGCGCTGAATAGGCGCTCAATTTGATGCTAATAGGTCACGGTAAAACATAGAGAAGTCTAAAAATCTGTTCAAAAAGGTAACTGGATACCACTTACACATTTCCGAGCAATCTGCCCACTTAAACTTTAAACGTAAAATGTTTCGTCACATTAGATTTAGCTCGGGTTCCGCACAAAGAAAAAGGACTTTGCAAATAGAAGCGGATTCCGCAAAACTGTAAACGTCGGTATAATGAACATAACTTTCTTTGTGAATTACACAAAGTGCTGCAGATTCGGCAAAGATTGATATGGTTTCCGCAAAGTTGGCTGTTTTAGAGTGATTTTGAAACAATGTTTTGCAATTTGCTCGTGGCATTCAAAACAGCAAAGAAGATAACAGAAAAAAAACAAAGTCACAGATCCACGATCCACTAAAAATCGCAACTTGCTGCGGAATCTACTTACAATGCATAAAATAAACAGTTTGGCCTGTTCAATCCCTGAATCAGCGCCGAAAAAATTCAAAATTTTAATTGATTTCTAAGAAGTTTTGTTGCGTGTCTTGTTTTTGATAAAAAAAAGTCAAGTTTGCTAAAAGTCTGCAAAATGTTGAAAATGAAACAATTTTTTCCTACCTTGATTCATGCGTGTAGATAAAAAACACTACAGAAATAGAGTTTCCGAATAATAGCATTGTAATATCTCTGGGAACAAAAGTCATGTGGCAAACAACCTGCAGAAGCAAAAAACAGTTTTTATTTTTCTCCTAATACCAAAATAGGTTTCCTACGGTCTGTACAATTTGAAAAAAAAACAGTTTCAGAAATTCTTTTTGCTTAGCAGGTATATGGATTAAGCCACCTGACTTTTCATCTCATGGTTTTGAATTAGACTTTTTGCGAAGATTGCGTTTACGTGAAAAAAAATAGATGAAGGGTGAAAGGGTAAAGATGTGGAGGGGTGTAAATAGAAAACTAAAAGAAAATTATGAAATATCTGTGCTCGGGTTTTTTTTCTCCAGACAAATTTTGGCTTTTCAACTAGCCATTTTTGACGGAATTTATCATCCGAAAGGCATTTTTGTCTTGAGCTCAAATTAAAAAAGATCTTTCATCTGTGATCATTTGTCGTAAAGTTATTGGCGTTTACATATTGCCAATAGGGCCAATTTGAGTCACTTAACGAGAGATATATTTCGCGCTATAAATCTTTTTGCAATAACATTGTGTTTAGGAAGAACATACGAAGTGTGACGTTCTACTTGCTCTGTTATCTCACTCTAATTGTGACCTCTACAATCTTTTATATGTACTTGGGACTTTTGTGGAGCCAGATTAAAGTGCCCTAAACGAAATGGAATTGAAGACGATAACAAAATCATATCATAAAGGAAAAGAAGAAATCGCCAGTTTTTGATGGTCGTGCAAACTAAAAAAGGATCTATATTTATTGAATTAAATTTTTTGAAAATATGGCATAAGTTAGTTCTTACGATTATTTCAAGTCAGAATAACATTTATTTGAAACCCACATCTAAAAAGTAACAAACAGTGAAATATTTTACTTTTACTTTTTACTGTACTTAAGTTTAGAAGCAAAGTCGGTTAAATTGTGGCGGTATAGTTTTTAATTTATAATTTTATGTGAATGGGATATTCCTTTAATCTTTATGCGAACTTTTCCCAAAGTGCCTTCTTTTGATTCTGTTTTAAAACCAGCCTACTCACGTGATCAATGTTCGTGGATTGACCAATGAAGGAGCAGTTGAACAGATCCGGATTATGTTGGGTGGACACAAAGCGGATAAAGCAATCGAATGCTCCGGAGCGCAACCCAGGAATGTCATTGTACATAATATATTATGTCTCAACTCCCCCCAACCAAACACACCCTTTTTTGTTGAATTTCACATTCTCCCAAATTTGTAGAATTCTTGGAGCATCCCAGGAATGTCATTGTGCAGGGCTGCCACGTTGACCTAGAGATGACCTGGAGAATTTTTCGACCTAGAGATGACCTGGACGACCTGGAGAAAAATCTAATTTTTCAAACTTTTTTCTCAAGAGGTCGAAACAAGGGTAGTTAGACCTGAGAATTGGTACAAGCAATAAAAGAAATTGCTAATTTAGTTCATTTAATGAAAAAAATTGGAACTTTCCAAAATTTGGGGCGGGGGGTAGCTCGTTCAGTTGCGAAAAAAATGCGGAGGTCATGAGTGAACAAAAATTGTTTTGTGACCTGAAGTAATGTTAAGAAATGACCTGGAGGATCTGGAAAAATGACATTTCGGAACTGTGGCCACCCTGTACATGAGTTTTCATCGATTTCTCCATTTCTCCTAATTTTGCACCTGGCCACAGAGGTTTCAGGGCCCGTGGCTACCCTGTGCCCCTGGAGAAGCACCTGGACTCACAGTTTCAGAAACCCGTGGCAACCTTGTCGTAATTCAGTTTGTTTTGATAAACATTCTTCACTTTGAGCTATCACGAAGCTACATTTTGGTCCGCTGAACCGGAGACTACAATGAGTCTAAGCCACAAACAATTAGAGAGGAAGCAACATGCCCTCCGTAGAAATCTAGTGAGACCAGAGAATCAAGCAGAACAAGAAGTAACAGGTACAAATACTGTTACTCTTCAGAAAATATTGGCAAAACTACAGATGGAACTGCAAAGACTGACGACTGTTGATGATGCTGTGCTAGACGGTATCAACAATGAAGACGAACAAGACACGAAATATAAAGAAGTGTATGAGATACAGAAACAAGCAAGAGGAAGAATATTCGCAATTCAACAAAGAATCAATCGAATATCCTCACCACAAATCCGCGCAGATGCAATACCAGAAAACACCAGGGTTTCTCATGCCAACACTACAAACAAACTGCCACAATTGAATTTGCCTACATTCTCAGGGGAATACAAAGAGTGGGTCTCCTTTGAAGACTAATTCGAGACCGGTGTCCATTCAAACGAAAAACTCTCTGATGTACAGAAGCTTGTATATTTGAAAAGTTGCTTAAAGGGAGATGCCAAAAAGCTCATCAAGAATTTAGCGACTACTAGTAACAATTACTATATCGCTTGATCACTCCTAGCAGAAAGATACAAGGATGAAAGAATCATTCTCAGATCACTCCTCCAACAAATTTTCGAATTCAGAGCAATTCAGACAGAAAATGCATACCAACTCAGACACTCCATTCGACTTTCAATGAAGTAAGTCAGTCAATAAAAGCCATCGGTAGGAAAGTAGAAAACGATGCATGGTTCTACGCTCTCTTGTCAAAAGTGGATCCTGAGAGCCAGAAAGCTTGGGCAATGGAACAAAAGGGCTCCAATTGCCTCAAGTACACAGACTTGTTGGAATTTCTTGGTGCAAGGATACAATCCATTGAATCCTCAACTTGTTCACTAGAACAAAAAACGGCAAAGCACCAAGACGCCAAGCAGATTGACGTATCTGAGAAGCAAACAAAACATGTCTGTCCAACGCCTGGTTGCAACGAAACTCACAACTTGGAGTTGCAGCACATTTCGAGCAGCTAGTACTCGGGAAAGAAAAGACATTGTGAGCAAGTCACGATGTTGCTTCAATTGTTTGCGGATTGGTCATACGGTTGCAAATTGCACATCAGAGTCAAAGTGTAAACAATGCCAGAAGAAGCATCACTCATTTCTACACGATGACGTCAAAAACTCCAATGGGATGCAGATTACTACAATCGTTAGCAGAGCCAAGGACAAAGAACAAATAAGTGTGCCCCATTATAATGTCAACCTTTTGACACAAGACAACAATTTTCAAAATTGCTTTTATGTGGACAATTTTGTGGGCAGCGGTGATTCTCCAGACGTGCCCAATGCTATTTTGACTAGTTTCAATTCTGAATGTAGTCTAGAAAAGTTTGTGGTCAACTTAAGCCAAGTAGCAAATGATGAAGACATGGTCGGATCGGGTGGACCCGATACTTTTCTGCATCGCAATCGTTGCCGGATCATTTGTGCACAAAATCGTCCGGGTACTGCCAGTACTACGGATACCAAGAAGGACCTGGTCAAGTTTGGACCCGCAAAACTGGGTAAAGACGAGGACGGATCGGGTGGAACCGATACTTTTCTGAATCAGTATCGTTGCCCGATCATTCTGGAAAAAAATAGTTTGGGTAATGCCAGTACTTCAGATACTAGAGTGGGCCTATGTTGTGATTCTTACCATTTGTTTTATTTCACTAATTACTTTAAAGTATCTTAACTGGTTAATCTTGATTTGACCTTGCCATCTTCATTCTCTCCGACGGAGAGAATGACCGCTCATTTTCTTAATGTTTTAACTTAGAGATTAATTCACTTTTTAAACATATCTTATTTGTAACTAAGTAGAATTAACCGTAAGAAAGGAACATTTTATCATGGCGCAGTCAAACAGCAACGAATCAAACGTGAGAGGTATACCTTCATTTTGGCAGAACCACACAGTGGACCCACCAATTCCTTGGGAAGAGTGGAGCGATCTATTCCAGCTAGCAATAATCGCGAAAGAGAATATCGACATCGAAAATCTTTTGAATCCAACGGAACAATATCACCCACCTCCCCCAACATTGGAAAAGGAAAATCGGCCGGAAAACGAATCCGACGCTCAAAAAACATCACGCATCGAGAGGAATATTCAAGAACAAAAGAGATTCGATGATGAAGAAATGGCCTCAATAAAGTCAGAAACCAAGAAATTCAACGGCATGAGACTGGAATAGGCGGACAAAAAACTAAGATCCATACTTTATCTAGCCCTCGGAAACGAAAAAAAAAGAAAAAATTTGGCCAAAAGTTCACGAGAGTCAAAGTTCTACAAATTTCTTTCAAAGAATTTTGGGAAAATTTGTCCACAGCTTTTGTGAGAAAAACAAACATAACCTTCGAATGACACAAACTCCTAAACAGAAAACAGAGGGACAGAGAATCATTAGAACAATTCTGGGGGGCACTGGCAGAAATGGCAAAACGATGTGACATTCCCACAGGAGAAGATGAATGGATTAGGGATATTTTTATTAATAACATGAAGAATTCAGATATCCAATGGAAACTCCTCACGGAAACCTTACCACCACTAGAAGCCTTAAACGTAGCCCTGATTGACGAAAAAGGAATTACAAACCAAGATGACGAATACTTTTAAATCCAGCGGATATTCTTCCAACAAATCTTTTAATCATTTTAATGTAAAAAGAGAACCCACCCTAAACATTGAAAGAAATAACACATGTATGAAATGCGGCGGAAATTTTACAAAAGGACATCTAGCGGTTTGCCCTGCTAAAGATACAATATGTACGACTTGTAAATATCGAGGACATTTTACTAGATTCTGTAAATCACGCCGTAAAAATGTAAAAATTGTGGATAGTCAAATTGTAAATAATACAGATCATCATTATCCTTCGGAACAACCAGATGTACATATTGACCACGCTAATAGAGAATGCTGTGGAGTAATCAACGCATGGTCAGAGTCTGGACATAGCGATAACGATGATTACTCTGTATTAAACGTAACAACTATCTACGACGATCAAGGAAAGGAACTGAAGAAACTACTAAATATCGGCTTAGGAAACGAAAACCAAGTAATTCTCAATATACAGGTGGATTCAGCAAGCCCTGTAAGCTTCCTTAAACAGAATGTGTTACACGAGTTGAAACTACGAGACCCCTACGTGAAAATATATCCAGTGGATAAGGCTACCAAGGAACTCTATTGTGGATTTACGAACAATGCAATAAATATCACTGGAAAAGTAATTGTCCCAATTTTCTCAAATGGATGGTCCCACAAGGAATGTCACTTCTTCCTAACTCAAGGTCATGAAAGAAATATCTTGGGAAATGACAATTTACCAAAAGTCGGAATCGAAGTTTCACAAAAACAATACGCAACATTCACCAACAAGAGAACATGTAAGTCTATCAATTCAGTTACCTCACTTGACATAGATAATGAAATAGAAATGATTGGAAAAACCTTCAAACAACTATTCCTTTGGATTGGAAAAATAAAAAATCAAACAAAAATAACACACTTTCATGAACCATAACGCCAATTCAATTAAAAGGCAGGAGGGTCCCTTTACACTTACTGGATTCAGTAAAAACAGAATTATACAGGCTTAAATCCGAAGGACACATCAAAAAATTAGAAAACTGTGACAAGGACAGATTTATTAGTCCGATAGTTATTACTTGTAAAAAGACAAATCGATAAAGCTAGCCCTAGATTCAAAATTTATCAACAAACAAATCTACAAGAACAAATATCAGATGCCTAATATACACGAATTAGTTGATAACGTAGCGGCTCAAATTTCAAACAATTCCGTCGGAGAAGTATGGTTTACAAACCTAGACCTAAAGAACGCATATAGTCAACTTGCGCTGGACAATTTTACTAGCAGCCAATGCAATTTTAGTCTAGTCGGCGGAGATATAACAGGCACTTATCAATTTTTAACGGGTTTTTACGGACTCGGCGATATGCCACAC